AAGAAACACAGTAAAAGAACTAAAAAAGAGCCACCGTGGCTTAACAACCATGTAAAAGAAGCAGTGAGAGATAAAAAGACTTCCTTTAAAAAGTGGAAGTTAAATCCTAATGAGGCAAATAGAAAGGAGCATAAACACTGCCAAATTAAGTGCAAGAATGTAATAAGAAAAGCCAAAGAGGAGTTTGAAGAACGGCTAGCCAAAAACTCCAAAGGTAATAACAAAATGTTTTTTAAGTACATCAGAAGCAGGAAACCGGTGGGACCTCTTGATGATCAAGCTACAAAAGGAGCGCTTACAGATGATAAAGTCATTGCAGAGAAACTAAATGGATTCTTTGCTTCAGTCTTCACGGCTGAGGATGTTAGGGAGATTCCCAAACCTGAGCCGGCTTTTGTAGGTGACAAATCTGAGGAACTGTCACAGATTGAAGTGTCACTAGAGGAGGTTTTGGAGTTAATTGATAAACTTAACATTAACAAGTCACCGGGACCAGATGGCATTCAACCAAGAGTTCTGAAAGAACTCAAATGTGAAGTTGCGGCACTATTAACTAAGGTTTGTAACCTGTCCTTTAAATCGGCTTCTGTACCCAATGACTGGAAGTTAGCTAATGTAACGCCAATATTTAAAAAGGGCTCTAGAGGTGATCCCGGCAATTACAGACCGGTAATTCTAACGTTGGTACTGGGCAAATTAGTCGAAACAATAGTTAAGAATAAAATTGTCAGATACATAGAAAAACATAAACTGATGAGCAATAGTCAACATGGTTTCTGAAAGAGAAATCATGTCTTACTAATCTATTAGAGTTCTTTGAAGGGGTAAACAAACTTGTGGACAAGGGGACAGAGTGTACTTAGATTTCCAGAGAGCCTCTGACAAGGTCCCCCACCGAAGGCTCTTAGGTAAGTTAAGCTGTCATGGGATAAAAGGGAAGGTCCTTTCATGGATTGAGAACTGGTTAAAAGACAGGGAACAAAGGGTAGGAATTAATGGTAAATTCTCAGAATGGAGAGGGGTAACTAGTGGTGTTCCCCAAAGGTCAGTCCTCAGACCAATCCTATTCAACTTATTCATAAATGATCTGGAGAAAGGGGTAAACAGTGAGGTGGCAAAGTTTGCAGATGATACTAAACTGCTCAAGATAGTTAAGACCAAAGCAGACTGTGACGAACTTCAAAAAGATCTCACAAAACTAAGTGATTGGGCAACAAAATGGCAAATGAAATTTAATGTGGATAAATGTAAAGTAATGCACATGGGAAAAAATAACCCCAACTATACATACAATATGATGGGGGATAATTTAGCTACAACAAGTCAGGAAAAAGTTCTTGGAGTCATCGTGGATAGTTCTCTGAAGATGTCCGCGCAGTGTGCAGAGGCGGTCAAAAAAGCAAACAGGATGTTAGGAATCATTAAAAAGGGGATAGAGAATAAGATGGAGAATATATTATTGCCCTTATATAAATCGATGTTACGCCCACATCTCGAATACTGCATACAGATGTGGTCTCCTCATCTCAAAAAAAGATAAACTGGCACTAGAAAAGGTTCAGAGAAGGGCAACTAAAATGATTAGGGGTTTGGAACGGGTCCCATATGAGGAGAGATTAAAGAGGCTAGGACTCTTCAGCTTGGAAAAGAGAAGACTAAGGGGGGATATGATAGAGGTATATAAAATCATGAGCGATGTGGAGAAAGTGGATAAGGAAAAGTTATTTACTTATTCCCATAATGAAAGAACTAGGGGATCACCAAATGAAATTAATAGGCAGCAGGTTTAAAACAAATACAAGGAAGTTCTTCTTCACACAGCGCAGTCAACTTGTGGAACTCCTTACCTGAGGAGGTTCTGAAGGCTAGATCTATAACAGCGTTTAAAAGAGAACTGGATACATTTATGGTGGTTAAGTCCATTAATGGCTATTAGCCAGGATGGTTAAGGAATGGTGTCCCTAGCCTCAGTTTGTCAGAGGATGGAGATGGATGGCAGGAGAGAGATCACTTGATCATTGCCTGCTAGGTCCACTCCCTCTGGGACACCTGGCATTGGCCACTGTCGGTAGACAGGATACTGGGCTAGATGGACCTTTGGTCTGACCCAGTATGGCCGTTCTTATGTTCTTATGATCCCGACCCATTCCGCCCCCTCATCTGCAGCCCCATCCCCCTGTTCACTCCTTTTGGCACCCCCAAGACCATAGAAGCTCTATCCCCATGCCACGGCCCCAGGGCCTCAGAGGGGAGTGAGGGCTCCTCCAGTCCTGGGGCTGCAGCCAGGGTCTGAGCGCTGGGGCTTCCCGCGCTACCCTGTGCTTCCGCTGAGGACCGGGGTCCGGGCACTGGGGCTTCCCCTGCCCCAACCCACCTGCCTGGCACTTCTGCCAGAGACCAGGGTTGGGGAGCTGGGGCTTCCCCGCCTGCCCCACAGATTCTGCCACGGCTCTGAGCTTCTGCTGCCCCATGGCAGATTTCTGCTGGGGCTCCTGGACACGGGCCCTAGGGGTCCATGGATAATCTGCCACAGCCCACAGACTTATCTCCACTGCTAGGATGATTAATGCCTGACACAACACACAAGATCCATGGGTCCTACGTATGCCTATCACAATAAGTGGTGTAGCTCATCCAGTGCATCAAATGCCTCAACAATTATGTGTGTGAAACCAGACAATCACTTCATTCTTGAATGACCTCACACAGAAAAATGATAAAAGACAAAAACACCCTACCACCTGTGGGCAAACACTTTTCACAAAGCGATACTCCATATCTGACCTCTCAGTCCTCATCCTCAAAGGAAATCTGCACAACACCTTCAAAAGTTGAGCTTAGGAACTTAAGTTCGTATCTCTGGTAAACTCTAAAACTCATGGTCTCAACATAGACACTGGGTTTATGGATCATTACAACATTTTGTAACCTACTAACCTTCCTTTTTCCTATGACTGCAGAGGTGTTAATTGCCCACTTCATTTTAAGTAGTTTCTTGCAACATGTGCTAACCTCTCATGTTTAACAATCTGTCCCACCCAGTATTTAGCTGTGACACTTCCAGACCTGAAGAAGAGCTCTGTGAATCATAGAATCATAGAATATCGGGGTTGGAAGGGACCTCAAGAGGTCTTCTAGTCCAACCCCCTGCTCAAAGCAGGACCAATTCCCAACTAAATCATCCCAGCCACGGCTTTGTCAAGCCGGGCCTTAAAAACCTCCAAGGAAGGAGACTCCATCACCTCCCTAGGTAACGCATTCCAGTGCTTCACCACCTTCCTAGTGAAATAGTGTTTCCTAATGGAGGTTCCTAGTGGACCTCCCCCACTGCAACTTGAGACCATTGCTCCTTGTTCTGTCATCTGCCACCACTGAGAACAGCCAAGCTCCATCCTCTTTGGAACCCCCCTTCAGGTAGTTGAAGGATGCTATCAAATCCCTCCTCATTCTTCTCTTCTGGAGACTAAACAATCCCAGTTCCCTCAGCCTCTCCTCATAAGTCATGTGCTCCAGACCCCTAATCATTTTTGTTGCCCTCTGCTGGACTCTTTCCAATTTTTCCACATCCTTCTTGTAGTGTGGGGCCCAAAACTGGACACAGTATTCCAGATGAGGCCTCACCAATGTCGAATAAAGATTGAAAACTTCTCTCTTCCACCAACACAAGTTGCTCCAATAAAAGATATTACCTCACCCACCTTGTCTCTCTTATGTAGGAGAATGACTCCAATCATGGAGCAAATAAGGACTAAAAAAGACAACAAACCAATTACGGGGGCAAGTGTCTATGGAGCTTTTCAAGCTAGGTCACCAACAATAGGCATTCACATTCTTCATATGGAGAACAAGTAAGAGAGACAAGGCATCACAACCCATCCAGAGACTAAGCAGCTAGCACTGAAAAGTAGTCAGTAGATAGATAGATGTAATCTTAAGCAGCCACTCAAGGCAGGACTACTTGTCCAATATTTCCGTGGCTTGGGTCCTACTCCTTGTAACTTCCTCAAATGAGGTGTGCAGTGTTCTGGCAGCATTGGATTGGAAGAGCAGGCATTTCCCTTTGTGCCTCTTCTTTTTCAGGTTGAAAGACAACGGTATAAATTACTCTTTCACTTGGTGACAAAGAAATCCAGGGAGTATAGTATGAATGCTCCGATGGAGACCCTGAATGCAAACTAGTGCTAGAATATAAGTAGTAGGGACTAGTGACAGCATCCATATCTATTTTTTATAAAGTGCTAAGTGATGATTTGGCCTTTAAAATCTCTCAAGAGTGAATATGTTTTTCTGATGATAGAGGGTTAGAACGGTATCTTTTGCATATGACCCATTCTTGCTATCCTGGAAGGAAGGGGCTCTGAGAAGCATACCTGCCCCTTTTCCTAGAAAAGTTAGACTCCCTTTAAGGACATGAGAGGAAGAGGGGGAATAGTTGAAACTTCCTGCCTTTGAAATATACTTCTTTGCATGAGAAAAGTAATTTTCTACTTACCCTGTCTGGGGACACTGAGGGTAGAGATAGATTGGGAGATTTTCCTGTCAGGTGAGCCTCTGGGAGAGCGGAGATTGGGCCTAGCGGCTCCTCACGCTCTCTTGGTGAATCTCTGGTACAGCGGGGAATGGAGGCCGCATTCCACTTGGCAAAGCAAGAGTTTACAGGCTGGGAGCAAAAATGGCACAGTTCTTTCTTTATGGCTGACTGAAAAGCCACTTTACATACAGAATATCTGCAGGTCTTTGCTCTATGCAGCTTTGGCTGCTCTGCCATTCTGAGTTTGGCAGGAAGCTGTCAGTTGAGAGTACTCATTTTGTGGTCCCTGAGAACTGCTTCTCAGCCTGACTAAGATTAAGTATTTGTTCTGAGATTGTCAGCTATCATGATGATGGGCATGGTATAAAAGCTTAAATAGAAAAGAGGAGAATATTTTCTCTTCAAGAACCACCTTAATAGCCAAGAGGTGGAGAGTGAGTGAGAGAGAGGCAGAACTAAAATTTAAGAGAAAGCACCAAATAATTTCTAAAGTAAAAGAACCAGAACTACTGCGTTTCATGTTGTCAGAGGCAGGATTTCTGGGGGGGAATCAGAATGGATGTCGTTTGCCACTGTCATTGGGCTCCCTGTCAAAGTGCTTCAGTTTCCACAGTCTCTGCAATAACGAAGGCCATCCTGTGGAGACGGAATGGACTAGAAGTGCTTTTACATGTATAACAAGGGGAAAAGTAGGAAAGAAAGTAGGCCCATTAATAAAAAGCATTTAATTAATGAGGATTCAAAATTGGCTGGTACAGAACTCATTTTGTACGCCTTTTTAATCCAGAGAACTAAAAGAATAGCGATATTCCTACGTAGGATTCAAAGATGGTGATTTTAAAATGAAAACTCATTTCTCCTCTCTCTCCTCCCTTCTCAACCCCAAGCCAGAAAAAATGCCTCCCCTTTCCTATTTGACCCTCCTCTCTGAAATGACATGAGGATTTAGAAATTGCCATATGTGATTGGTTTAGTAATATATCTTGCCTTTGACAATGGCCAGTAATTATGATGTTTCAGAGGAAGGAGAATGGAAGCTCACTATGGACAACTGCTATTGTAACAGCCCTTCCACTTTCCTTGCTCCTGACCTTACACATGAACAGTCACGTAATGGCAGGGAGATGGACTATATGACCTTCGCATCTCCCACTTCTTTGATTTTATATCAAAACGAGGTCTAAACTGGGCAGATGGTAATCACAGATTAGATCAATTTAAGCAGATTCACATTTCAATTATTGCTTTTTCTCTTTAGTATGTACTGTATATTTTACTAAAGTAATATTGCCTATAAATATGCAGAGAACCTTTCCTTTTTCCCATTGTATTCATAATGTTGCCAGTTCGGAGGAATACCTACCTACCAAAAGTAACAACAGTGGGTAGAGGTTGTAGCGGTAGGCAATTATCTGTTCTATCTGAAAACATCTGAACATTACCAAATGAGGAAGTGCCCAAATTTTCTCATACTGATTTCTCTGATCTCTTCTAAAATAAAATGTTCCTGCTGAATTAGAGACAAAGTTAAAGTTAAAGAAGCTTTATTATCATATTCATCAGAGTAAACGTAACAAACTGTGTACCTGTGAAGGTTCTGCAGGAATCGGGTAGATGGCACTGCATGGCCTCTCTCTTGGGGACAGGCAAGAATTTTCTCTGGAATGTTTATGTTTGTCAGACAACAAAGGAGAAGCTGGAATATAAAAAAAACCCCCAAAAGATAACTTAATGCACTAAAATACTGATCACTTAAATTCTGTGGGCCAATTTCATAACAGAGAGAGACATCCTATTGTTCCTCTCCCAACAATTCACCTTCCTCTGACAATAAATTGCATTCTGTGTCACACAGGCAATAATTTGAGATTCAGTGGGTTAGTGTATTGACAGCCATTTAACTCAGTGGACAAGCACTAACCTCTGGCACTGGATGGAGCAGAGCTGGTCACATTAGGTGAAGCGGAATGAGTAGAGCTCAAGCTTGAGGTAGATGGACTTGGCTGGAAGTTGATGAGACACTCTTATGAGCACATCATACATACAAGTTTGTAAAATACAAATACACTGCATATGTATTACACAAACGTTTTGCCCAGAGAATATTTTATAATTTATTACATTAATTTTCCAAGAGCTTTAAGCAGCAAACAGATGTAAATAATATGAATATCATTTATTACATTTTGAACTTGCCGCAGTGTTAATGACAATTAGACCAAAAGGTCTGACTAGAGAAAAGAAACGGATTTGTGTTAGATTGTGTAGCTTTAAATAATTTTTCTCACATACATTTATATCTTCAAATTGGACTGTACAGTTATGTAAATAATAATCATTCTCTATAACTAAAAAGGCTGACAACCCATAGAACATGAAGGTCTGTTTATAAAAAAAGCTTGTAACACTCTTTCAATCACAATTCTAAAGTAAACAGAAGATGATAGTGAGTAAATAAATCTAATGCTTTCTTGTGAGAAATCAATAAGATCGTATTTAGCTTAGCTGTGGCAATACTTTGTACCTGCATGTTGAAAACTTCGTCGGAGCTTTCTGATTGCCCAGTGATATTGCTGACTTCAGCAGAGGCTTGTGATGACAATGACGAGGATGAATATCTGTTTACGGCTGGGTAACTTAATGGACTGTTACAGGAAAAATAAAAAATTGATGTAGTTAATTCCTATTCAAGTTTTCCAATTTATTAAACATCAATGGGGAACAAAGAGAAAATAAACACTATCTCATCTCTTATCTTATACACTCTAATTTGGGTTTATTTATTATACTGTGATTTTTATCAGCTATGGATGTCTGCAGATGCCTGTGGACTGATATATTAAGAAGCATATATACGATAAACTACACCACAGAGAAAAACTGTTCAGTACATCGTATAAAAGTGCCAAAAACTAGAAATTCATGGTAATTTAATCTTTGATTTACCTGCGTCTAGGAATTACCCTGGCACCATCTGGACTCATAGAAGCAGGCGCTGAATTTCTACATACACGAGGGCTTCCATTAGGGAAGTGAACAGGACTAGCTTGCACACATGCAGAGAATTCCTAATTATTGGTTAAAAAAAGGTTAATTAGAATAAGAAAAGCACCATCAAGCATTTTGTGACATACTTTTCAATGTACTATCTGTACATTTTCATTTTGAATCAGGTGCATTAAATATTAATATCTAAGAAGCTAAAGTATTTTTTCTGCAGTGATGTTCAACATTTTCCTTTGATAAAGTAAAATCATTATTTTTCTTTAAGTCGCAAAGATAATTTCAAAAAGTGAAGAGAAGCTCCAGTGCTACATCAATGTAATGCAACCAAGCAACCAAAAGATGTCTCTATTCGTCACTTAGCAGAACTAACAACCATGTTCAAATGAAGCAGTCACTGCAGCTAAGCTGTGTCCAGGGCCGGCTCTAGGCATCAGCATTCCAAGCATGTGCTTGGCTTTTTACTTTGTACTTTTCAAGGGGCGGCACTCCGTTTTTTTTTTGTTTGTTTCGGCGGCGGCACTCTCCGCCCCCCGCCCCCCCCCCCGCTTTTTTTTGCTTGGGGTGGCAAAAAACCTGGAGCCAGCCCTTGCTGTGTCCTATGGCCTGTCAGTGCATCTGTTCACATACCTGTATTCCCAAACTTGACTTCATCACAAAGAACTGATCAACTAGCTTTTTGTGTAAAGGTCTCATATCCTGAGGCACAAACTTCTCATGTACAGCTAATCCAAATTCTAGAATCTGGGCCTTCACAAAAAAAGGGGAGAAAAAAAAGACATTTATTTGTTGCGTTTCAGTTTAATTTTTGCTTTCCATCATTAACCACCATGCTACAATGCTATGAATTCACAGAAATACATATTTTAAAAGGACCTTGATATTAAACAAGGCCTAAGGCCAAAACCAGGCATTTAGACAAAAACATTTACTTTTCTCCTCTTTGTGCTACTTGACTTTCAGAAGAATTTAGCTGACTTGATACCAATGACTCAGTGTGAAATGTGTGAATAAGCAGTTCTAAAAGTATGAATGAAGACTTTCCCCAAATAATACTGGGAAGAAAATGTCACTGCGTAGAAAAATGTGAGAGATGATAACTCTGGTAAGGAGCTAGCAGATCTGGGCAGACAACATGGATGTGTGCAAACACAGTTCTTGGAATGCACATCCTGCTATAACTACAGAGCCCATGTTATTTCACTACCAGGTATCTCCTAAGCAGTGATAATTAATGTGGTGGCTTTATATGAGGGACAAAGGTCCACCAGGCTTGAGAGTAATAGCACCAAAATATATCACTTATTATCTTGTTCATATTTACTTAGATGGATTTAAAATATTGGCTTGGTTAAGTGATGAACCAAATAAACTTTAATGTAAAATCGAACGGTTACATTATGTTGTAATATCTTTGAATGAGAGCATCCAGCGGACATTTTGAGCCAGCATCTCAGTGGTTGTAAATCAGCAGAGCTGCACTGACTTCACCATCACAGGTGAAAATGACCATTTTGTTTCAGGGCAGGTCAACATTAATCTCTGCTTCTGAGGTGTTATGCTGCCTCATGGGAGTTTACCCTTAGATCCCTTGTGCCCCATTCTCTCATGAGGCCCTGCTCTCCAGCTGGACTAGATCTTCCATGATGCATCATGGCTCTCCCTGCAACTGAGCCACTGCAGTGAATCATGGGAGTATATGGGGTCAACATGCAGAAACAAAACATTTCATCTAGGTTTCTCCCCAATGAAAAATTCAGCCAAAATTGATTTTTCCTACAGAAAATTTCTATTTTGACAAAAAACGACTTTTTTAATTGGAAAATGTTTTGTTGGATGTTTTTGACCAGCCTAGCAAGTAGGTAAAGTTTATCTTAACCAAGTGAATATTTAAAGTTCCTTTTTCACATTTTATTGTGAAACAAAGGGGAAAATAAAATATCAAAATAAAAAGTAGACATAGTTAATGTCATTTCCCAGCACATCTCTTCCTTTCAATTCATCACAAACTATGCAGCTCATCTATCTTTATTTTCCATAAATAGTAACTTCTACATTAAGCAATTAAAACCACACAATAAAAACAAATACAATAGAAAAAAAAGGAGAAATACAGTTCAAAGATCAAATAGTGATCCTAAGTTTTTATATAAAGTGCAACCTCTCAATTCCTTAGTTCCTGTCTATTTTTATTTCCTAGTCAGGCAAGTATTTGTGGAATTTTTTTTTAACATAGTACAAGTTGTATTATTACTACAATATACTTTTTAGTCATAGCAGTTTCAGTCTGTCGTAGTGGTAAAATATGTAACAACATGCAAATAAAACAAATATTTGCAAATGTAAATATGAAAGGACGTTCTGCCTCTTATTGGTCCACTTATATTTTTTTGGAGAGAGGAAAAGAGGATCAGAGGGATTAAGTTAACTACACTTGGAAACCTACTTATAGGGAGTTGCACGCTATCTGAAAACTTATACAGCAAATATTGAGGGCCACTGAGCAGCTAAACACTGCAATTTCATATCTTATCCGGGCACATATCAATTTCAGCTAGAATACACAGCAGGCTCTCTATGTCTTTTCTCCATTTTACCTGCTCAAGCATCAGCTCTCTCAAGCGTGTGATCTTCTCCCCATCCTCTGGGTGGTTCAAGATATATTCCTTCACAAAGAATGCCTAAGCAGAACATAATCATGGCACAAAGTCACAACAAGTTTGATGAATATGTTTACAACAGCTTTAAGGCACCAGGTTTTTCAAAACAAAACCCCAACTCTTCCCACGGCAGTACAGAATAGTAAAATCATGTATCACAGTTATAGATCCATTTTCATATTTAAAGGTACTGACGTTCTTTTTTAACAAACTGATATGCAACTTATACACAGAGAGCACCTGCACAAATAAATGGCAGACATTTCTTGTATGAAAAGCCTTTAACCGAGGTCCAATAAGTGAACCGCTTCCATTTGGCCAGGTAGGTCGCTCTGGTGGGAGGCTTTCTGCTGCCCAACAGGGCCTGTTAAACACCGGCCGAGCGCTTCTGCTCCTCTGCATTTAACCATGCAGCAGCCAAGCCATCAGGTGCAGCGCTGCCAGGTTTGGATGCAGAAGACTGCTGTGGTTTTAGGACAGCAGGTCTGGCCTGAGCGGCAGCTGTAACAGAACAGCCACCGAGGGGTACAGCAGTGTGCCGAACCTGTGCTGGTGAGGCCAAGCCGGCACTATGAGGATCACCTTTGCCTTGTCTTGCTTGATCTTCATGAGGACCCTGTGAATTAACGGCACTGGGGGGGAAGGAGTACAACAAAGCCCCCAACCAAGGAAGTAGAAAAGCGTCCGACAGGGAGCCTCTTTCGATCCCCCGAATTGAGCAGAAAACGTGGCATTTCCTGTTCTGCCTGGGTGTGAACAGGTCCATCTGGGGAATCCCCCACCTCTGGAAGATGACGCTGACAACTTCCAGATGGAGGGACCACTCGTGGTGAGATGAGAAGGTCCTGCTGAGGCGATCTGCCAAAGCGTTCCTGACCCTGGTGGGTGGCTACGAGATGAATGTTGTGTTGTACACAGAAGTCCCAGAGCCTGATGGCTTCTTGGCAAAGGGCAGATGATCTGGCTCCGCCTTGCTTGTTGATATAGAATATAGCCGCTGTATTGTCTGTCAGGACCTGGACCATCCTGCTTTCTTTGTGAGGTAGGAAGGCTTGGAAGGCCAGGCAAACTGCACCCTGATGTTGATGTGAAGGGAGCGATGGTGACTCGACCAACGATCTTGTGTTCTGAGATCGCCCAGGTGGGCTCCCCACCTCAGGTCTGAGCCATTGGAGATGACAGTCACTGATGGGGACGGAGCTGCGAAGGGAACTCCCTCCAACACTGATGCAGGATTCTTCCACCAAGTGAGTGACGACAGTACGGGTCTGGGACCCTGACCGCATGGTCCATGCTGTGTCTGTTGGGGATGTAGACCAACGCCAGCCACGCAGAGGCAGAGCCATGCGTGCCGGACTATGTAAGTGCAGGCCGCCATGTGGCCCAACAATCGCAGGCACGAGTGAGTGGTGGTGAGAGGGTGGGCTTGCATGCACGACAGGAGGTCCACCATGGCTTGGAACCAAGCCTCGGGGAGGAAGGCTCTGGCCTGAGTAGAGTTGAGGACCACTTCAATGAACACTATACGTTGCACTGAAATTAAGGTAGACTTTTTCTCATTTATTAACAGTCCCAGGTCGCGACAGGTGGCGCAAACCAGATCAAGATGCGACCGCATCTGATCCTGGGACCAGCCCTTTATCAGCCAGTCGTCAAGGTACGGGTAAATTTGAACACCCTGGCACCTCAGATAAGTGGCCACTGGCACTATGCACTTTAAAACTACTCTTGGTGCTGAAAAGAGACCGAAGGACAGCACCGTGAATTGGAAATGGTGCTGGCCCAGCACAAAACAGAGGAAGTTCCTGTGCCCTGGGAAAATGGAAATATGGAAATCCTTCAAGTTGAGGACAGTGTACCAGTACTTCAGATCCAAGTGAAACTTCAACTTCTTGAGAGACTTGTTGAGGCAACACAGGTCCAAAATGGGTCTGAGGTCCCCTTTTGCTTTCGGGATTAGGAACTAGCGGGAGTAAAACCTTTTTCTTTCATGTCCCGGCGTCTCTACCACCACCAGGTGTAGGAGGTTCTCGACCTCTTGGACGAGAAGTTGCTCATGAGAAGGGTCCCTGAAGAGGGATGAGGAAGGGGGGTGGGAAAGAGGGTTGGTCACGAACTGCAGGGTGTACCGTGAAGATATTACGTTGAGCACCCAACGGTCCCAGGTCAGCCATGACCAGGCTGACTGGAAGGGGCACAGATGGTTGAGGAAAGAGTGGGAGGGTGTATCCTGGGAACTGACTGAGGTGCTGTCCTCGAGCACACCCTCAAAATGACTTCTTCTGGCCTCCTTGGCTCCTGGAAGGGCCAGGCTGAGCAGACAAATGGGAAAACAAAGTGTAATGCCGCTTAGACCCCTTGTCTCTATCCTTTCTCCTGTAGGTGCCCAGCCGGAGAGTCCCCCAGGACCTAGACTGGGGAGGCGGTGGGCCAAACGGCTTCCTGGTCTGTGAGGGGTATGAAGGCCCAAGGAGCGGAGGGTGGCACAGGAGTCTTTAAGGCCATGAAGTTTGTTTCTGTGAGCATGGAGAAGAGCCCTACCCCCTCAAATAGGAGTCCTGAATAGTGACCTGCATCTCCTGGGATAACCCAGAGGACTGCAGCCAGGAGCTGCACCTCATGACCATCACCGAGGCGACCACCCCAGCCTGTGAGTCCATAGTGTCCCAGGCCAACTGGAGGACCCCTCTCACCATTGCTGTGCCTTCTTCCACCAAAGCAGTGAACTCCTGGGGTCGGTCCTGTGGGAAGGCCTCCTTGAATTTCCTGTTAAAATTGAACCTGCCTAACAAGGCCTGGTGGTTAGACACCCAAAATTGCAGGCTGGCAGGCGAATAAACTTTTCTGCCAAACAAGTCCAGTCTCTTGGCATCTTTGTTTTTCGGCGTGCCACTGACCTGGCCCTGCCTATCCCTTTCATTAACAGCAGACATGACCAGTGATGCCGCTGGAGGGTGCGTGTACAAATATTCGAACCCTTTTGCAGGGACGTAATACTTCTTTTCTGCCTTCTTAGAAATAGGCGGAATGGAAGAGGGGGTCTGCCACAGCAATTTGGCAATCTTAAGGACCCCTGGGTGGACAGATACCGGAGGAGGATATAACATTCAAGTGGTCGGTGGACTCCTCCGCAAACTCACTTTTGAAGTTCAAATTGGTAGCCACCCTCTTAAGAAGGGCCTGGAGCTCCTGGAAGTCGTCGGGGGGCGGGACTGCCTGTTCGGGAGGGACCTGCCACTGCTTCGTCCAGAGACGACAACGATTGCACTGCTGGGGGAGGGGCGAGTTCACCTTCCCTCTCTGGGGATGGCTCCTTGGGTGTTGGAGCCTGCTGTGCTATCCCCGCATTGGATTCGGTGCTGTGTTCTGACTCTGGTGCCAGCGGTGCTGGAGGCAGCTTGTCCGAGGCGGCCAGGGAAGACTGGTGGGAATATGGGACCGGCATTATGGGCACACCCCACGGGTTCCAGCATAGCCACTGAGCGGGCCACTGTCCCTGCTGCCATGCCGTAGCTGCAGATGCCGCACCGGTCTCATGGGTCAGCAGTGAATCACCCCTCCTCAGCAAGGGGCTGAACTCCTGGTCTGACTCTGACCATTGTCCTTCTGGTGACCATGGCCTGAGTTTCCTGACTGACCCTAATTGGCGACCGGTGAGACGAGGGCAAGGACTGGTGCATGCCTGACAAACAGTACCAGGGAGATTGAGACTGGTGTCATGATAGGGAGCGATCCCATCCCGGGTGGGGACCGACATCTAGGAGACCGTGTAGGTGAAGGTGACCTGCGCTGCAGCGATCTTTGGTGGGAAGCTCGCCGATACCATGGGTATGGGAACCGGTGCCTCGACTCCAGTGACTGGTAGGAAGAGAGAGGTCCTAGGCTGCGGAGATGGGGCTTTACGCCTGAGGTCCGGGGACCGAGGATGCTCCACTGCTGTATGTGGTGGGCCCATGACTGGCTTGCCCTTAGATGTTGGAGTCTTAGCTAAGTCTGGCGCCTGGCGTGGCAACAGTAGTACCAGATGGCCTGCTTGTTCTTTAGCCGCCAGGGCTGCTTCGGGCAAGGGTCCCCTGCCGCTCCCAGGAGTTGGAGGCGGATCCCTGGCCGGGCTGGGGGGTCCGACCACAGTGGTACCCCCGTGAAGCCTCGGGACAGGCACCTGGTCTGACATAGGTCCTTTGTTCGAAGCCCCTTTCCCCTCTGGTGCTGGGGGGGCTCTTCTTCTTTTGCTGCTGCTTAGGCACCAGCGAGGGGGAATGGTGCTGAGCGGAGCCTGGTGCTGGCAGTGGACTCCGTACCGATGTCGAGGTACTTGGCGTGGGGTCCAAGCGGGAGGGCTCCGACACAGGACAAAGCGCAGCCTCCATGGGGAGGGCCCTCAAGCAGATATCCTGCTCCTTTTGGGTTCTATGATGAAAGTTTTTACAGATTCTGCACTTGTCATTTCTATGGGACTGCCCCAAGCACTTCAAACAGCTCTCATGGGGGTCACTAATAGGCATCGGCCTGTTGCATGACGAGCATGGTTTGAAGTCGGGGTAACAGGGCATGCCCCGCTCCGGGGCCAAGTCCCAGCAGGGACTCTAACTTAACTTAATGGCTAACTAAGTACCTACAAACTATATACAAAGAAGATAGACAATGGGCTAACCGCTAACATCCTGTAATACAAGACGAGGTGCTCCGACCAACCATCCCGGGCAGTAAGAAGGAAGTGAGAGGGTGTAGGGCCGGCAGCTCCTAATATACCAGCGCATGGGAATGACACTCAAGAGGGTGTCATAGCCGACCCTTTGATATTTATTTTAGTATAGGTGATTATGTATAAGGCAGTGTCTATTAGCACCCATTATATATAATACCATCTGTATGTTTTCATACAGAGCAAGAGTTAGACAGAAAGTGCTTGCAATTAGTAAAACTATGCATGAAACAGATAATACAACAGAACCGTAATATATATTTTCTAAATAAACTGTTTACCTCTTGGTACCTAGCAACTCCACCATTAACTGCTGCATCTATGACCCCATTCAGACACATTGTGAGTGGGTTTATATTCTGCATCTGTCGGGTCTGACACTGACTAATCAGAGTTCTCAGCTGCTGGTTCTTATTTTCCAGCACTTCAATAGCATTCTCGAGGGGACTCATTTCCACCTGGGGGGAAAAAAAATCACCCATGCTTAATTCTCAAATATTTAACAGATAATTTATTAAAGGCTGTTTTTGCTGAATTCTAGACTCTAAACAAGGTTATTCTATATTACTAATTTCTCCTATATTTGTAGATAATTCCTACATGCTTGGGTTGACCCTTGTGAGATATGAGGTCAAAGACAGAATGACTTCAACCACACAAGCAAGGACCAAATTCCACTAGCAAATCATATTATCTGACTCTGCAAGGCTGGTGAGCACCTCCTGCTAAATACTGAGCCCTTTAACTCCTGGTGGAATTAACAGGGCACTCATTATCAGGCCCGGAGTGATAAAAATTTCTGTGCCTTACTAAAGGGTCAGAGGAGTTTCCCTAGCTGCTAATATATACTGCAAGAAGACTGAAAGGCAGAAGAAAGTTTACAATTCAGTAGCTAGAGTAGAGAATAGACTGTTCCATGGCCTCTATAGTTGTCATCATTTACCAGATGTTACCACGCAGTGGTATTTGAGACAATGCAATTATGTGCTATGCTAAGCATAGAAGAAACTGTAGTATTTCAGATATAATTGTTGGCAAAAACTGACTGTAATGGTGATAAAGGTACCTAAGGGAGGGTCTCCTGCTATTTTGGGGTGACATTTTTCATGCAAAATATTGGGCTGTGCAGTATTGATCTGGGAACTTATGTGTACTGGAGTAGCAGCCACAGTACCAATCAGCTAACAGATTTTCTCTTGCTTTACACAGAATTGTGTGTCATTTGATTTGTACTAAATTGAGTAGCTATTTTTCAGTTGGGACTATACCAGAAGGATGAGAGAAAGACTGAAACAAAATAACAAAATAAAAAAGAGAGAAAAGAGTAGATTTTTAAAAGGAAATAATTTGTACAGCAGTAACTGTGCGTTTAATGGGGACTAGTTTCCCACATTAGTATTGGACTGTCTTCTTTGGCAAGAGGGAGAATATTGGCATGTGCCAACCTTGTGGTCCTGAAACTTGCCAAGTTGGCTAGAGAACTTTAAACAAGAAGGATTATTTTTCAGAATATATTTTGAATGTATTAGAGAAGTTTCCCTGAAATTTAACTATGAAGAAAAACAATAAATTACAAGCTGGTAGTAATGGGCTGCTACTTTAGACCTTGATCTTACAATGAGCTTCACGTAGGCAGGTTTCTGTGCCCATGCAGAGACCCAGTGACTTTAACAGGGCTCCATGCAGAGAGAGGGATCCACCCCCCTGGCACTTATAGCAGAACGGGGGCCCTGAGAATGATTACCTTTCAAGTATACCAAAGACATGTTAGGCCATAAATAATCTAATCACTGAACACTGTCATACCAGGTTCTAAAAAAATAACTTGCTGACATTAAGTATCACCTCTGACTATATTTTTCTTGTTTTTTTGGCTTGAATTGTTTGAATCATTCACAATGATGGTTGGTGGTTCCTACCAGTGCTATTCAGTTATTTATGGGAACTAGATACCATAGAAGGATTTAAAAATCATTTATTAGCTTTATTCAACATAAAAAGCAGGGTGATATGGATTCCTGCCACTAGCAACTCTAGATATTACTAATAAATCTTTAAATCTGGTTTATTACATGCTGTACATATAAAGAAGTAACCTAGTTGCTAACTCAGTATCCAAAATGAACTCAGAAGCAAGAGTCTATTAACAGAACTCTTCATACTCACTACTTCACGTTTTTCCACTTCGAACCAGCGGGATATCCCAGGCAAACTCTGCACTAAGATCAATGATGTTCTTTCCACCCACAGACTCTGCAAAATACAAAAGCAAATTATTGTGTGTGTTGTTCTTTTGGAGACATGCGATCTAGAATGTACATTGCTTTTGCCACCTTGCCCTATTTTCTGTGGTTTGTTAGATCTTCTGCAGTTTTTTGTTAACTGATGGATTTCTTCAGTCTTGTGATGTTGAATGGCAGAAATGTGGTAATAGCCAAATCTGCTCAAATGACTACCCAAAAGTGTACAATATGCAATCTTCTCCTTTACCATCTAGGACTGACTATTAATTTCTGTTGATCTCACGAGTGAAAGATACTGTTTTTAATAATATCCTGGTCTCTGTTCTCTAAATGGACTACAGATGAAAGCTACTCAAAACCTAACCTGTTGGGAAAAAGGACAGTTTCTAGTTTTTGTATTCCTGAGATAAGGAATAAATTGGAAAAATACTTATGTTTAAAAAGAGTGACTCACTCTCCTTTATCAATTCCTACAATATATCAAAGTGTATTGTATATGTCACCCACAAACACATAATACTATTAAGTGCTTTTTAGGGAAATATCTTGAAGTAATTTAAAAGCATTTATTGTGACATAAAAGTCTGTTGAATTACAAGGTTCCTACAGTATACAATATAATATTTATATAAAATACAATTAAAGAATCCTAAACCTTGATCGGAATTTAGAACTGATTCATTAAGCTCATTTTTATGGTGCTTTTTATTACCATTATAGTTCTTACTCTAAGTTTACAGCAATACCAACATGTGATAATGCACTTTATCGATTTGAATAATTCCCTTATTGAAGCACAAGATATACAAATGTATTTCATACATTACTAAGACATGAATATCTTTGACTAGGTACATATATATATATATATATATAAAACCAGGCAGGCGTATGCTGAAAGAGTTTCTAAGTGTCTTGTGGGTCAGTGTTAAGGTTGGTACTGGAAAACGCAAGGGTAAATTTTCCACACACCAATGTTTTTGTTAATAGGATTAATAATTATTTATTTATTAGGGACTAAATTGTGGCTTGGCCCTGGATTACAAGGTAGTTTATGCATATAGCGTGTGGCGGGAAGTAAGGGGGCTTCTTACGCTTTCTTACTCCCTTGTGCAGGTATGTAGGGCAAGTGACAATCTTGCCTTATGTTTGTTTTCCTTATTTTAATTAAAATCAGAAGAGTATGGAAATGACACTTGATTTACCATTATTTGCAGGATCCATTTAATTTACTCTTATCTACTTCATTCAGCACATAACTATAAACTATTATGAACAATGTTATACAGCATCAGTAGCACAGGAAACTACACGGTACTTTACCTTGAATTCATTCTCCTTGTCTTTGGTCCCTTTGTGGAATGGCCTGTCATATCGGAATCTCCAGATGTGATTCACTTTATAAAAACTCTTGATGTTATCTGGGATGCCCTCTCTCTGCAGGACCTCCTGGCTTTCAGGAATTGGTGTCACTGCATAGATCTGCAGGTCTATGTGTAAAAAGTTAAGGGCCAAACTAGCTTATCACCAGCAAAACAAGTAGGCTGATTCCTGAAGCTTGAAGGAATAAAAATTCTGGAAGTTCACATCCTTAAGCTTCCAGACCATTCATTTCTTTTAACAAGTCACATTTACTTCTAAAATGAAACTATCTAGTATATGGAAATTAAAATATTTAACAATGGATACTCCTTCAGATTTCACCCATAGCCTATGATGCCATGCTCTGTAAATCAAGAACTAGAAGTATTGCAACTTAAACTGACATAGTGCTGAAAGTCTGACAGTTCTGCAAAATAATTTAAATGAAATCAAAATGTTTAACCAGTGATCTCCTATCAAAGATTTTTGAACAAACAAACAAAAACATACAGAAGAATAAAAGAATGACTGGAAATAGTTTACCTGAAGAAATTATGAATAAAAAGTGTTACATCAGAAAAGAATTTGGCTTCTAATTCCAATTATTTCAGTGGAATTAGATCATAGGTGAATTTGGCTGTAACAGTATATTTTTTTTAAGAAGTGTACAAAAATTAACTGCAGAGTATGATCTTGTGAAAGTATGGATACACTGTGCTTCTGCCTGAAAGATCGTCTCATCTGGCTGATTGGCATGTTGCATAGCAATGGCATGTGGGAACTCATTCAACATTCGCTGCTGGAAAGCCTCCAATCTCTCATAGTCATGTCCTCGGCAAACAAACTCCTTATTCTGTACAGAAGAAGCAGAGCTAGTTACATGAAAATAACTGGGTACCATTAAATAAATAAAGACACATACTTTTAAAAGAGGGCTTTTTGGGATGCTTACTGCACTACTTGAACAAAGGAAAAGGTAAGTAACAAAAGGCAAAAGCAGAAAACGAATAAATATGGAGGGAAAAAGTGATTTAGTCAAAAGGAAACAAATGTAATTGTGTCATATAAAATACATTTTATTGCTTGAGGCATTCTGAAAAATCTAATCATTACATATTTCTGTAAGCCATGATCAGAAAGGCAAACATTGTTTTTACTAGCTAAAAGTATGCACGAGTAATGTAAAGTAATGGATGGTGAAGGCAACAGGAAAGTCATAAGTCCTTTGTGTGGTGTACTGAACTTTTTTGCTTGTTAGTCCAAAATCTTGCTTTATAGATATGCACCTTGGAGAAAGGGAAGGGATAAGAAACCTTCAGAATGCATCCTTATTGCCTCTTCCTCTAAAGACTGCACAGATCACCAGTCTGATATATTCTGCCTGTCCTGCCTTAGGGGGGGAAGAGAGAATGAGGGTAACTGAGCCTGCTCCAACTCTGAATCTTCCACATGGCCGCTCACTGTTCCCCTGCACCACCAGATCAGCTTGGCTTTTTTAAACATTTGTGTGTGCAACATGAACCTCATGTAAACCATCAGATGCCAGGAGCTGGAATTCCCAATGCAGCACTGATTGTTTACAATGGTTGTGCTGATACCTACAAGTGCTATGGAAATACTCTTCTTCATCAGCTTCCTATACCCGTGGGCAGGGGGCACAGGACTTAAGACAGGGCCTCATCTTTGTATATTATAGGATTTTATCCAACTTATCAGGAGTAAATATGCACATTCACCATTTACCAAGCAATAATGTTAAATCAGCTGGGTCAACACAAGGGGAAAACTAGGGTAAAAATATTCAAAGGCACTTAAGTTCCATTTTCAAGAGTGACTCAGGCACTTCGGAGCCTAAGTCTCATTAAAAGTCAATGGGACTTAGGATCCTAAGTATCTAAGCCCCTTTCAAAATGAGACATAGGTAGCTGAAAAAGTTATCCCTAGTCTGTACTTGGTAAAGGGGTGGTGTTGATTACTTTTCCTAATTGCCCCTTTGCCCAGTAGACCCCACCCCACGCCCAAACACACACCGACAGGTTTCTGGGCAGTCACTAATAAAAACAAAATGGGAGTAAGGTTCTTGAGGAAGCATTGCTCCGCTAGTATCTCACAGCTGATGCCTGATCTCTCATTTGTATACCGAGACATACTTGGAGTTGTGGGAACAAATAGCTCACTCCCCTAAAAGAATATTAAGAGGCTACTCCATTAGACAAAACACCTGGAATTTTCCATCTCCTACAAAGGAAGAACTGGCATAAGACATAATAAAGTTTTCAAGTAGGGAAAGAGATGATGAATGAAACCATGACTGATAGAATTAGTGCATAAAATTGATTCTGAATTTACTCACTCTCAAGAAAAATGGAAACTTTTTCCCATAAAATCCAACTCTGAAAAACTCTGGCTCCAAACGTTGTTGATCCATGATTTTATCATACAAAGAAGCTTCCATCATCTGAATAAGATTGAGAAAAAGAAATATATGTTTTATACTTAAAGCTTTTACAGAGAAGAGGCTGCTTAGTGCCCAAAAGTATTAGAATCACATTTCAGTTCTAATCAGCAAGAAGGAGAACTAGATAACTCTTTTACAGTGGATTGAAAGCTTCCAAGAATTTTTGTGAAGTTATTTTCACTTAGGAAGAACAGATATTACCTTTTGTTTTTGTTTGTTTGTTTTTCTTCTTTAATCTTCCTAATTTACCATCTCCATTCTTATTATATACACACACCCACACACAGACGCACACCACCACACCCACACACACCCAATTTGAAACATAATCCCAAGTATTTTGCTGATTACTCAACTATTTAGCTATAACATGGGCACTTTCATGAGCACAGGGCATTAAGGTTTGGGATTTTCAAAGAATGCTGCCTAAGGGAGCTAGGTGCCCAAATCTAATTTAATATCAGTAGAAGCTGAGTACCTAACTTCCTTGGGCTCCTTTGAAAATTTCGGTCTAGAAAATTTATAAAAATCCTTTCTTTGACCAATATACACAGTAGTAATTTCACTCAAAATATTGGCACAAAGTGACGTGGTTTTAAAGTTTCCTGTTTTTCTTGATATGATTCAAGAGACAGGTTCTCTGTCAATATTTTACAAATAGTGATAAAAAAAAAAGGATCAACATTAGTCAGTTATTGATAGAATTTTGTTAATCTGCTAATATTGAAGACTTTGGGGGGAAATGTAATCAGAAGTAATATTAATTGCCGCCCTACTTAAATTATTTGAAGAAACCTCATTTTTATACGAAGTCAAATTAACATCAACAGTGCATATGTACTGGAAGACTATTTGGCATTTCAGACTTTCAGATACTCACAACATAGATATGTCAAGAACTAATTAAATAGGCAAGACTAGGGATGCAGGTTTGTCATGATGGGAGAAAGCGTCAGGTAGCATAATCTTCCCATTATTTGTGACTTTTTTTGTGTGCCCGTGACTCACCCCGCAGTGGTGGCTCCTGTCCGACAGGGCTGGAGCTGGCAGCCCACTCTGGGTGTTGTGACCTGGCAGGCACTGGTCAGGTTTGGCCCACCTGCCGCTCTGTCATGACTGGGGGTAGGAGGAGGTAGAGGGGCCAAACTTCAGTGAGCGGCACTGGGACCTGGTGCATGGGGCTGCAGTGCTGTTCAGGTTTGGCTGCCCCTTCATTGTAATGTGGTGCCCCATCCCGGTGACCTCTCTATTCTCCCTTGTCCCCCAGCCTCCCTTCCACACTGGGCCGGGATTAGGGTTGCGATGTCTGGGTGCTGTTACGAATGGTCTGTGCCCCACTGTCAGAGTGAGAAGGAGGAGGAGGACATGTTTTATTGAAAATCATGGAGCAGTCACAATAAATTTGGTGACCTGTGACTTTTAGTAAATTTACTGTGTCTGCTCTATGATTTTTGACAAAAAAGGCTGTGACAAACCTGCTACCCTAGGCCAGGGGTCGGCAACCTTTCAGAAGTGGTGTGCTGAGTCTTCATTTATTGACTTTAATTTAAGGTTTCACGTGCCGGTAATACATTTTAATGTTTTTTAGAAGGTCTCTCTCTCTAAGTCTATATATTATATAACTAAACTACTGATGTATGTAAAGTAAACAAGGTTTTCAAAATGTTTAAGAAGCTTCATTTAAAATTAAATTAAAATGCTGATCTTACGCCGCTGGCCTGCTCAGCCCACTGCAGGCCTGCGGTTCCGTACACCGAGGCCGGCAGCAGGCTGAGCGGGGCCGTGGCCGGGACCCTGGCTGGCAAGGGGCCAGCAGCCAGAATACCAGGCTGGCAGCGGGCTGAGCGGGGCCGGCGGCCGGGACCCCAGCTGGCAAGGGGCCAGCAGCCAGAACCCCAGACCGGCGGTGGGCTGAGCGGGGCCGGCGGCTGGGCCCGCTGCTGGTCTGGGGTTCCGTTCGCTGGCTCCTGCCAGCCAGGGTCCTGGCTGCCGGCCCCGCTCACCCCGCTGCCCGTCTGGGGTCCCGGCCCTGCCCACATACAGTGGGTACCTACCTTCTCCCTGGTTCTGGCCCATTTTCTTCCTCTCTCTCTGCCCTGAGCTGAGGGTGGGAGTGCACTGAGCACAACGCTGGGGGTAAAGGAGCAGGCTGGGGGTTGGGGTGCAGGGTCTGGCCAGGAGCTAGAATGGGGGAGGGGGCTCAGGGTTGGGGCAGGAGGTTTGGGTGTGGAGTGCTTTCCTGGGCAGCTCCTATTTGGTGCGAAGGGTGTAGGTGGGAATGGGTGTGGGGGGTGCAGGAGCTCCCGTTTGGTGCTCAGGGGTGGGGATGTGGGGGGTGCATGAGTCAGGGAATGGGGTGTAGGGTGGGCTTGGTATGTGTGGGGAGTGCAGGAGTCAGGGCAGGGTGTGTGTGAGGAGGGTTCAGGAGTCAGAGAAGAGGGCTGGGGGCGTGTGAGGGGTGCGCTGGAGTCAGGGCAGTGGGGGGGGGGGGCTTGGTATGTGTGGAGGGTGCCAAAGTCGGGGGTGTGTGCAGGGGTCAGGGCAGAGGGCTGGGCTGGGGAGTCGGGGGGGGGGGGGCGGGAGGCCAGCCCCCTGCCCTGAGCGGCTCACGGCAGGGGGCTGGAGGGATAAGCCCTGATTCCACCCCCCTACCCCAAGGCCCTGCTCCTGCCTCTTCTCCGCCTCCTTCCCGGTCTGAGCAGCGAGGGCACTGGGGCTCCTCTTCTCCCCGCCCTTGCAAGGGCCATCGGCAGCAGGGAGGAAGAGGAGGCGGGGCACGACGCAGCACGCTGGGGGAAGAGGCGGGGGAGGGGGATGCTTGGCTGCCGGCGGAGCCGGCCCTACAACAGCAGCCGGCAGGGCCAAGCTTGCTTCTGCTCCCTGCCCCTGCCAGAGACAGCGGTGGGCGGAGAAGAGCGGGCTGGGCCAGGCAGGATTTTTAATGGCACACTGCTGCCTGTCGGTGTCCCGGCCGTCGGCCCCGCTCAGCCCGCGTGCCATAGGTTGCCGACCCCTACCCTAGGCATTACTAAGGGCAAAATTTTCATGAATTTCCTTCTTCTTCTATGTGTGGCTCTATCTGTCCAATAAAGCAAACTAAATATTAAATATGTTTTTGAGTTCCTAAAAAAACCTTTTGTTTAACAGAAAGCTTCTAATAGGAAAGAGGACAAAACCCTCATTTAGGTTCTGAATTGTTAAATTGTCATTTAAAAAAAATCATGGTTCTCAGAAAAATATTTATACAGAACTAATGATCCATTGCTCTGCTTTTCAAGCAATTAGAATGATGAAGGTGGGTGGCTGCTCATAACAGAGCAATTGTGTATACTGTTAGCTAGAAATATGAATACAACAAAAGTACAGCTTTGTACTCACTCGTTTGTTAAAAGTGTTTTGCAGCAGCAGTCCAACTGGATGGCTGCCCAAAATGGAAGCATTGGAAATCTATCCATTTACTGTTATTCGCATATATTTCAGAATACTTTATACATACCCCGATATAACGTGACCCGATATAACACGAATTCAGATATAACGCGGTAAAGCAGCGCTCCAGGGGGGCGGCGCTGCGCACTCCGGTGGATCAAAGCAAGTTCAATATAACGCGGTTTCACCTATAACGCGGTAAGATTTTTTGGCTCCCAAGGACAGCGTTATATCGCGGTAAAGGTGTATATACCAGGTGTGGCCAACCAGAGGCTATTTTACAGGTAAAATGTGGCTCATGGAGCACCTTCATGTCCCCCTCATTCTTCACCTACCAGACTTGTGGCAGGGTGGTGGGGGTAGGGGCTTCTACCAGAGATGACTGGTGCCTGCTGAGCATGGGTGGGAACACAATTTAAAGGTTCAGGACCCCCCAACAGCTTGAGTCAGCCCCCCCACAGCATGACCCCCTCTTACCCTCAGGGGTCCCTCCCTAGAACTCCCAGGTGTTAGCTCCATAGGGAGAGGCAGCAGAAAAAGCAGCAGCTCTCCCTGCAGCTCCCAGCTGTTTGCCGCTGCCTCTCCCTATGGCTGCAGCTCCCAGCTTGCTGGCTCCAGCAGCTGTCGCGCAGGGAGAGGAACCCAGAGGCACCATGTGACTGAGCAGAGCCAGCAAACCCTGGAAAAAATCACGGGGGGGAAGTGGGGGAGGCACGTGAACCCATGTGCCCCCCGCATGTGTTGCCTCTGGCTTCTGCCTAGCTGGTCTTGGGGCTTCAGCTCTGTGGGAAGCAACTGCCGAGGCTCAGGGCTTTAGCCCCACTTCCGCTGAAGCCCCAAGCCCCAGCAGGTGCGCCCCAAACTTCTGAAGATTGTCATAATGCAGCTCAGAGGGTCAGTAAGTTTGGCCGTTCCTGATATATACATTATAGGGAACAAATAAGAGTCAAAGGTAAGGATTGCATACTAATCATATTAGGCTTACAGGGCCAAGCTGAATATGCCAAGAATCATTTTGTTAAACTCTAATCAAAAGGGAGCTCCTTATTATGAATGACCAAAATGCACCCGGGTACATTACCCTCATCTTGCTGAGATTTCTGTAGTCATAATAGCTCTCGTACTGCTCTGCAATCTTCCTGCATAAGATGATGCCATTCTCCCAACACTGTAGACAAACAGGTTATAGAAATACTCAACACAGAGAGGAATCATGCTTTGTGGCAATTTCAAATAGCTTTCCAAATATCTTCTATTATTGCTACAATTTCCCAGTAGCCAACAAATATGAGGCAGACTGTTGCCCCAAGGATATAACACAGACAACACCTGTTATGTGACAATTCACAATATGTTATTAAAGCTCCTTCTTTGTAGGCTGACTGAACTGCACTCCCAGTTACTGAACACACTTGAACATAAAACCCACTGTCTGCAGTACCTTGATAAGGGCAAAACTCCCTAACTAAACTTCTGGACTCTTTGAGGCATCAAAACATATATTTCTAGAGTTAGTAGATAAAAGGAATAATTTGAGATAAGACACACTGTGCCACTGCAGAAGGTAGAGATCACTAATGAAGAGATATCCCTCTCCTCCAGCACTGTACATGGGATTTATTAGACTGATAATATGTTCCAATATAAAATGTAGTTTACATATAAAAGAGTAGAAAAATTAGGAAAAATATTCCTTCCTTGAATTTTTTTTTGGGTGAGGAGGAACAATTTGGTTGAAAACAAGTTTTCAGTTTCAAAATCTCAGAGTATCCTTAAATTGTTTCTGACTCATTGCTAACCAGCGTTCAACATTAGTTTTAATTCTACTACTTATAAAAATTTACACGGATATTACATCAGTTACAAAAAATTACAGTGTATCTATCTGTACTTGTGTAGCAATTATCGAGGAGAGAGATTTAATTAAAAATTAAGCAGAGTATAATTTTAAACCAGATAATATTGGTAGCCAATATTTGTGCCAGTCTTCAAACCAATCAGCAATGGTTTCTTCCTAATTTGGGATAAGATTTCTGAATAATGACAATATACTATGGTCACCATTAAAACTTACCAACAGCAGCATCTGAAATATTATTATTAGTACTACTGCTGCTGCAGTTGCTATTCGAGGGAGCCAGCCTGGTTCTGTAGATAGAGGACAGGCCTAAGAGTCAGGAGACCTGGGTTTTAGTTCCAACTGAGTCACTGACTTGTGTGAATTCAGCATGTTTCTGTCCTTATGTGGTTCAGTTTTCCCATCTGTAAAATGGGGAAAATGATACTATCTTTTGTAAAGTTCCCTGAGACTTCCATTTGAACAGCACTATGCAAGTCCTAATCAACTGTATTTTAGACACCATGTGTGGTAATTTATGGCAAACGCTCACTTTTATATGGCAGTCACTCCCCTGGATATAAGAAATAAACACTGCAAAACTGGAGGGGATTTTACAATCCTACTAACCATTCATGATAAAATCAATAATCAAACACACTTACTTTTCCCCGGTCAAAGTTCTGGATGATTGTAAGGTGAAGATACTCTTTGCGCTGCCACTCTGTTTGCATGGGATAGTTTAGAAATTCTCTCAATGGCCGGTCAGACCATTCTAATAGCTCATCGTACAGCAATAGTGTGTAGGCAGCCTCTGTCAGACAAGTTACAAAGTGTTATATGTAAACATGAAAAATATAAAATACCTCAAAAGCCATGTTATTTAAACCAGGACCTACCATAATATTCTCATAAAGTTATACCTCTGCATAGAACAACTACTTTACCTAAATCATCATAGGGGATCTGGTAGCAGAAGGTTGCTCTACACTTCCCACAACAATACGCTGTTTTCAGTTGCTTATAACTTTGCCATACTTTAACTGCTCGGGATGAAATTTCCTATGCTGGGTGTCTGCCTCAGGCTGAATATTTTTGCAACTTTTAGCATGAGATTAGGGAAAAATATGTTGTTTTGCCCATGTTAAAAAAGTTCTTACAACTGTTTTGCTGAGAAGCTCTAGGTCCGCTATGCTTTGGAGTACGGACTTGAAATTTGGCAGAGGGCGGAGCCTGTGTGTCAGATACGTGCCTTTTGCCATCCCCATGAAAAAATGGCCAAATTATAGGACACTGAAAACTCTCAGATGCTCGGTAGAGACTTGTTAGAGTGTAGCACCTAATTTCTCCAAAGATTCCATCTACGCTGGGCATGTTCACTGCAAAGCCTGAGCAGGACCTTCCCTGCAATTGCTAATCCTGGCTGCTGCCAGGCACCTGGACTGAGAGCAGGGAGCCTGTCTCTCCTGTGCTCTCAATGTTCCCTCAGCAGCATGGAGAAGGAGGAGGAACAATCTGATTAGAATGCAGAGGGGTAAGGAGCTGGGTCTGGGGGCAGAAAGAGCAGAGGGAATAGACTGGGTCAAGGAGACTGGGGAGAAAAGGGGAAGACTAGGAGCTAGGAAAGGGGGGGAGAAAGGATAGTGGCTATACAAGACGATGGACTGGAAGCTGGGGGAGGGGGGAAAACAGGAGAGGAACTGGGACTGGGAGCCAGTGTGGGGGAAGGGTATGTAAAAGATTGGAAAATGAGAGGAGGGGCAGAAACTGGCACTGTCTAGACAAGGAAACTAGGACTGGAAGGTGTGGTGAGTCACTGGCATGAAGAGCTGGGGTAAAAAGACAGAACTTGTACAGGGACAGGCTGAAGGGTACAGGGCAGAAGGGATCAGGGCTGGGAGGAATGAGAGCAGAAGGATCTGTGCCCACTAGAGCACACTCCCCTACAGCCTGCAATGAAATCCAAGATTCAATATTCCCCTGCTGTCAAAAGTATCAGTGAAACCCTCTGGCACAATGTCTCATTCCCCTCTACTGCTGGTCCACATAACAGTAATAAGTTGTCATCCTCTATCAGTTACTCTGTTAGCTTCAGTGGCAAGAACTGAGCTGTGGATCTAAAGGTTCTAACCCGGCTGATGATCCCCATAGTGGAATCTGTTTTTTCAGTTTGCTTTTTTAAAAACCTAGGAAATTACACAAACACACACACCAAATTGTGTTAAAAGAACATTATTAAGGTTGCAAAGTCAAACACTCAAAAGTTAGGATATGCTAGAATTAAGGTTGCTTGTGCAATCTTCATTTGGCCCTCTTGTATATATGCATTAGGATACAGTCTTTAATTACATGATCACATACTATTTTTTTCCTCTGCCTCATTCAGTGCACATGATGGACCATGCTATGGGAATGCATAAGGGTTGTGAAGTGTAAGAAACTGTTGTCTGTAGGACCCCCTGCTTTATTTATTGTAGGATTTGAAAGATATGTAGTGATTGAAGCACAAAGGCAATCTTAATTCTGGCATTTCCTAATTTCTGAGTGCTTGTCTTTGCAACTTAAAAAATGTTATTTTAATATAATTTTTGCATATAATTTTATGTTTAATATGTCCAATATACTTATTTATAATTTTATTTAAAACTAATTGCTATAAGATTGATACAGCTTGACTTCTTTATTGCTAACTACTAAATCTAAATACGCACTAAACGAAAATTTCTTAGTGTTCCTTTCCTTTTCAATTTCTATCATGGAAGACTTAGCTTGGAAGATTTCTGTAGTACAAATCTGTATGTGCAAGTTCTTGGACATATTGTATTGTATATAAGTAACTTATTAACACCTCTGGCAGATGTGGGTATTAATTCCCCATGCACCAAAAGAAAGCAAACAGGAGGGGCTGATTTACGATATGGAAAAATCTATCTGAAGAGGAAAGGTTCAAAGAGTTAAATATTTCTGCGATTAATGGAAACTGAAAGGTTATCTCATTCCAGTTTTGAGGTCTCTGAAGGGGACACACAAGGAACAAGGACATTATTCTACCCACAAGGGGATTAAATGTATAACCATGACTGGAAGCTGTGGAAGGAAAGATTTATGCTAGATATTAGATTTAAAAAGGCCTTTTCTCACAAAGAATTATTAGAATGTGAACCAGTCTTGTAAGTCATATTGTGAAGGCAGATAAAATAAATGAGAATAAGAGAAAGCTGCCTGTATCACTGGAACAAAACTATACAACTAGATGAAATAAAAATGTAACATACTGGAGTGCTGGTAAGAGAGTGAACTTTACTTCCTGTCCCCAGGCAACTGACAAGGGTCAAGGTTAAACTAACTTTTTATGTGTTCTTTTCATTGAACATCAATATGTAAGGCAAAGGAATGGACTAGATGAACCTTTGCTTTTCAATGTACGGACTGTTTCTATCCTTTGTTGTGGACTGAGGCCAACCCTTCCTTAATCAGGTAGTACTAAATAAGACTGAGTGTCATGGCAAAAAAAAAAAAAAAAAAAATCAAGTGTCATGGATTGCAAATGCTATAAACGAAAGAAAGAAAGAAATCTATAGAAAAATGAATAACTGTCATGGAGGCATTATTTTTAGCAAAATATTGCTTAAAATAAGAAATGAATAGTTTAAAAACATTAAAAAAATCAGGTCACAATCAGTGCCCAGACTATACTGGACATACATATAGAAACTAGTGTGTAAGGATCCACCGACGTGCCTTGCTCAGTGGGTTATTAAAACCTGTTATGTGAAAACCTAAAAGTCACAGTTGTGTCACAAAAATCATGTCTGGGGCAACCATATATCTCTAGTTGGTCATTATGCCCAAATTATATGAGAAGGTCCCTGAAGTTATACAGCAAGGTCACCAAAAACTCTCTCCTCAATACAGCCTCCCAATCCTCTGACACACTAAACATATAGAGGCCAGACAGGTATGGTGGAATTAAAGAAATCCTCTCTCCTTTGTACCTTAGGAGGGTCCAAGCTCCATGTACCCAACACAACTCCACCTTGCCCAACTGGTCTCCTAATGACTTTTTTTATGTACTACAGGTTTTGGTATTGAACCCTCATAATTACAACTAGCAAGTTACTGAAGAAAAGCTGGAGTTTTTTTGGCTGAGTGGATGTCAGCTGGATTGAGACCTCTAGTACCCATACGATAGGTCAGTTTGGGATTTTACAAACCCAAAGTATTTTGATACGGGGAGGTGATTGATCTCCTATTTCCTTCTTCGTTTTGGACAGAGGCTAATGTGAAAAAATTCGGAGTGGGGCAACTGAAAAAACAATTACCTATCTGGAACTGTTCTTCGAGATGCGATGTAGACATGTATTCTACTTAGGTGTGTGCATGCCCAGCATTCTGGAGCTGGAGACCTTTGTCTAGCAGTACCAGTAGGGGCAGTGCTCACATCTTGTGGCCATAGCACTACCCCTGGCCTTATAAGGGGGTGCCACCCCAACCCCCTCTGTTCCCTCACATCAAATTTCAGATGTATAGATTCAGATCCGGAGGGGACCGAGGGTCAGTTGTGGAATACACATCTGCATCACAGAATAACAGTTACAGATAGGTAACAGGGTTTTTTTAATAGACGCAGCAATGTAATCTACTAAGGTGACTCAAAAGCAGGACTAAGAGGAGGTGGGGCTCAGAGTCTGCAGGACTACCTTCCCAAAGTTGCCATTTGAGCAGCAAAAATGGCATAGTAGTTTGTAGAAGCATGCATAGAAGACCAAGTTGCAGCCCTGCAAATGTCCAATATAGGAATGTCACTTAGAAATACCATGGACGTTGTCTGGGCTCTTGCGTAATGAGCTCACACCTCTTGAGGCAGCATAGCCCAGGCTACTTTGTATGGAAGTTATCCACCTGAAGACTGTCTGTGAAGAGACCCTGTTAGAGTTCCCCCCGCCACTCTGAACTCGGCGGGAGCCGGGGAGGGGAATATGTGGGGACCCACATGAAAGACCCCCTAAGCTTATATTCTACCAGCTTAGGTTAAAACTTCCCCAAGGAACAAATTCCTTTCCTTGTTCGTGGACGGTATTGCTGCCACCACCAAGTGATTTACACAAAAATTCAGGGAAGAGTCACTTGGAATTCCTATACCCCCAAAATATCCCTCCAAGTTCTTTCACACCCTTTCTGGTGAGGCTTGAGAATAATATACCAACCAGTTGCCTTAGCAATGTGAGCACAGACCAGACCCTTTGTCTTCAGAACACTGAAATCAATCAGGTTCTTAGAAGAAGAACTTTATTTATTTAAAAAAAAAAAAAAAGAATCACACCTGCAAAATCAGGATGGAAGGTAATTTTACAGGGTAATAAAAAGATTTAAAACACAGAGGTTTCCCCTCTGGGCGCAGCGTCACAGTTACAAAAACAGAAATAAAACTACCTCTGTAGCATAGGAAAATGCACAAGCCAAAACAAAAGATAACCTAATGCATTTCCTTGCCCTATTTACAATTTCTGTGGTTCTAGATGTATAATATCAGGTATATTTTCAGGATATTGTACCTGCTTGGCTTCTCCCTCCCCGAAAGGGAACAAAAAAAAGAGAACAACAAACAAATCCGTCCCTCACAGATTTGAAAGTATCTTCTTTCCTCATTGGTCCTTCTGGTCAGGTACCAACTAGGTTATTTGAACTTCTTAGCCCCTTACAGGTAAGGCAATCCAGTACAGTTGCCAAGGAGGGATTTTATGCTACTGCATACATAAAGGTTGCTACTCTTCCCTCTATTTTCATGACAGACCATTTGAGCCCTCAATTTGGTCTGCACAGGAAACAAACACATGAGATGAGGAGCGGAAGGATTTGGTCCTTTCCAGATAAAAAGCTAAACACCACCTGACATCTAGTATATGAAGACATTTTTCCTTTGGGGTTGAATGCAGCTTGGGGAAGAACACTGGTAAATATATAGTCTGGTTCAAGTGAAACTGGGAAACTGCTTTGGATAAAAACTTAGGGTGCAGACACAGGATTACTTTGATTTTAGAAGAGCCTGAACGAAGACCCCTTCGAGAGCAAAACAGATGGCATTTCTTATTTCTCTCGTGGTTGATCGTCGGAATGATCGTCGGAATGATCTGGTTGATCGTCGGAATGATCCAAACTGCAAAGACGGACTGCAGGATGCTGGCTTCAGGGACCATTCATGATTCAGGAAGAAATTTTATCTGAGGTGCTCCGCCAGGTGATTCTGTATCCCAGGGAAGTGATCACCTGTGGAGGTAACGTCTTCCCCAATGCAAAACTGCCATAACCTAATCACTTCCTGATACAGCATGTTGGAGTGTTCTCCCCCCTCACCTGTTTACGTAATTCATTGCACTGGTATTGTTGGTAAGTATGAGTGCCACTGAGCCCATGATGTGATCCTGAAAGGTCTGACAGGCATTGTAGATGGCTTGAAGCTCCAGGACACTGATACGCAGAGAAGCTTCTCGTTCTGACCACAGACCTTGAACTTTCAGCAATCCCAGATGTGCTCCCCAACCTATTAAGGGGGTATTGATGACTACAGTCTTGATTGGTGGGGACTGAGCAAAAGGAATGTCCTGGCACACAATAACTTGAATCATTCACCACCATAAGGAGTCCAGGATCGGTGGACCAGCCAGTCCAAGGGATGATGAATCGGATGATAGACCAACTTCAGTCACTTCTGAAGAGGATGAAGGTGTAGTCTGGCATATTGGACTAGCTGTGGATCTGCAGCCATATGGCCTAGGCTGTGATTAAGAGTTGAGATTGCAGCTCCAGACATAGGTGGGGAATTGCCTGGAATTGCTCAGTTGGCAGAAATGCTCTTGAGCTCATAGAGTCTAGCAGGACCCCAATCAACTCAATTCTTTGAGTTGGAACCAATCTTAATTTCCCACTTTTTAGGATGAGACCTAAATGATCAACTAAGTGTAGTGTGAAATGAACATGAAAGAGGACTTCCTCTTTGGACTTGCCCTCAATAACCAATGGTTGAGATACAGAAAGATATGAATTCCCCTCTTCCTGAGGTATGCTGTTACCACATCATACACTTGGTAAAAACCCAGGGAGTGCAAGACAGGCCAAAAGGCAGCACGATGTATTGGTTGAGGAACCTCCTGTGGCTTGGCAGGATTGCTATATGGAAGTAAGTGTCTTGAAGGTCCAGGGCAGAAAACTAGTTGTTGTGATTTAAGATGGGGAGGATAGCTGCTAGGATTACCATACAGAATCTCATGTATCTGATGTTTTTACTGAGATCGCAGAGGTTGAAGACATGTCTCATCCCGCCCTTGGGCTTGAGGATTATGAAATACTGTGAGTCTCTTGCCACTTGAGTCCTTTTTATGAACGACTTACCAGTACCTCATCTGTCTTTAATGTGTCCTTCACTGAGACACAACAAGCCCCTCATCTGAGGATCTCTGTTGGGGATGGCCTCCATACACAACTGGCAATGCTTGAACCCCAATGAGGTCACTGCACAGGGCAGCCAATGCCTGTAACTAATATGATACTAACACTAAACTTAACTTAGGATACTCCTAACTACTATACACAAGAAAAATTCATCAGAAAACAGACTGAAAGCATGAGCTAAAAACACCTCACAGAGCTTCAGCTCTACCAAGGACGGTGAGATGGAACTGAGGGGATCATGGGAGCTGCAGGGAACGAGCACAGTCCCTACAGGTATTGCTAAGCAAATTTATTTGGCTTTGGAGTGCTTTGTGTGCACATATTTACGTAGAATACACAGCTGCATCTACTTGAAGAAGAATATTTTGTTACCCAGTCCAGTAACTCTTTATAGCATCTACTTGCCCAACAATGATAAATACCACTGTTGTGCATCCAATGTTGTATGTACAACAATGGATAAATACATTATCTTTTGTGTCTACTGAAACAAACAGCAATATATTTAACACTGACATTTAAATGACCATATCAGGCTTCAGAGTTAGTTCCCCATTCAGATGAATTGAGACAGTTCAGACTGCTTGAAACAATGGCTCTATAAGATGCATGAAGACTTAGGCAGACATAACTGCATTGGTTACGTTCCATCACATTTTTAAGGGTATCGTTGAAACCATAAGGGCAAGATGATTTTTTTTTTAAACAGAAGTTTAGATTTTGGAATGCAATTATGTAGTGGCTTTAAGAAAATAACAGGTCACTGAAGTGACCACGTAACTGCATTATGAACCAGCACCTCATATCAATTTCCTGGGTACAATTCTATGGCCTGTGATATATGAACTAGAGATCAGACTAGATCTAATGGTCCCTTCTGGCCCTAAAATCTATAAATGAATGAATGATGCCAAACAGTGGGAAATACACCACTTGGAGAAAATCCAAACTCTCTCTCTCTCTCTGTTTTACAATCAATTTAAATGTGTTAAGAATACAAAAATGTCCCTATTTTTTCTTATCTGCATGGAATCACAGCAGTGTATGGAGTACAGCTGGAAATACATGTCCTAGTTGTATTTGCTCAAAGGACTCCATCGGAACAGGAAAGAAAACTTTGGTATTTCCATTCTTCATTCATGACAGAAACATGTGAAGGCTCAAAAGCCCTCGTAATTCAACCTTAGTGCAGAAACACATCTGATTTGAGCAGCCCAACCCTTCACACTCTTTCTAAATTATTAAACAGAAAGAATGAAAATCCAGGAGTTGCCTCATTTAACTCCAAGTCAGTTTTGTGAATCAATATGGGCTAAACTGTGACTGGAGACACAAACTGGGGTGGGTTGTAAGCCACACCAACCCAACAGTAATGCCAAGAGGCACTGTGACTCAGAGAGAGACAGTTTAATCACAATTATGTCTTTCAATCCCACTTGTTCCTGGGTGGGAGAGAGTAATAAATTCATTGCTACCTTATACTGTTACTGTCTATCACACGTAGCACAGCTCCTCTGGGCAGCAAGTAGGGGAAGTGTGTGAAATAGAGCCAAGGCTCTGCATATTCCCTGCCCACCTGCTTTGGGGAAAGTAAGCTTGCCTGGTTCTAAGATCCGGGTGACCTGCAAAGGGGTTAAAGGAGGTGTCTTATTGCCTATGACCTCACTATGACTGTGAAAGTGCATAAGTCACAATCTAACTCTAAATATTTTTTTCTAGGTTGTATGTACCAACAATTACCTGTAAAGTTTTGTGCCTTCAGATGCAGGTCGTATAGCTTATGGATATAGCGAATATACATCTCCTCCTTATTCAGTTCGGTCTTATAAAAGTTCTGCAACAAAAAAATTATATAGGTGGTTAAACAAAATGTTTGTGACAATGTAAAATGGCAGAATAAATAGCCAAAAATTGGTGTTGGAAGTAATTGTTAAGTGTATAGAACATACACATCAAACCTAATGTTGCAGAAATACATGCAAGTTTCAAGAAGTTGCATGTTTACAAGGGCAAGTGATAAAGGTCAGTACATGTAGCAGTACACGTAGTCCCTTATAAATAGGCCTCTTACATTTTGTTGAGAACAATCCAAATATCCAGAATATTTTTAAAATTATTCTCCCGCACAAGAGTCAGAATCTGCTAGAACTAAAATCCCATGTTTTATCTATTTGAATCATTTTACTCAAAAACACCAATTCAGCCATCTAAAAAATACATCTGTACTTCTATCAAGCGCCACTGAAGCCATTTAATGTCTCATTGAAAGCTCTACATTGATTTAAAAAATTGAAAGCACTCTGGCTTTTGTATTCATATTTTAACAAAATATCTGCTCTACTGTATGTTTACCCTTCACTGTGTGATAGCACAATGCCAGGATGACTTTGGCAGCATTGCAAAGAACTATTCAAGTGTTATAAACAAAATAACCCTGAAAGAAAATGTGATTTCTTCAGCTCTGGCTTATGCTCATAAAGCTGGTAACTGATGCATGACTATTGCATACCATGTCTCAAATATAAAAAACATTCTATTATGAACTTATATTGAAGGAGGTGGAATCAGGTTTTCAGAGTTATTGGAGATTTTTGATGTGTCAGTCTTAGTGACTGACGTGGGTGTCACATGAATAAAGTCCTGCATGCAGTTTTGAAACTTTACAGAATCATAGAATATCAGGGTTGGAAGGGACCACAGGAGGTCATCTAATCCAACCTCCTGCTCAAAGCAGGACCAATCTCCAGACAGATTTTTGCCCCAGATCCCTAAATGGCCCCCTCAAGGATTGAACTCACAACACTGGGTTTAGCAGGCCAATGCGCAAACCACTGAGCTATCCATTATGTTCAATATTTAATTCTCTTTGTCAGAGTAGTACAGGGCCTAAATCAGGTATTCCAAGGCCAGCAGTAGGAGAATGGTGTTTTACACCATACACTACAAATGATGTCATCTTGAAGATAGAATTGCAGGGCATGCACATACAGGTCCCAGCATGCAATGCTTAATTTTGTAACTGGTCTGTTCAGATCAAGATATATCACTGCATGCTACAGCCTTAATGCTGCAGGGTACGCCTGTACATTCAAGATTGTCATCTGTTCCATGTTATTAGGCATCTCTTCTGGGCTCTCGGCAAGTTGCCAATGTGCCCCTCTGTTGGAATAAACTGTGGATGTTCTTGTCTATACCACAGATTCCCAAACTGTGGGTTACAATCACTAAAGTGAGAAAGATGGGGAGGAGCACTGTGACAGAATCTCAGGGAAAGTTGTTGTAGGAAGTCAGAGAAAAAATGTAAAACGTTACAAAAATAAGTGTATATTTTTAAACGGATAAAAATGGCGACACAACATGAGCTCTGCAATAGCATGTCCCTTCAAGGCCACCATAATACTATAATCTGAGAAGCACAGCTAGCAGTGCAGCAGCTGCTGGAGCATCTGCTAAAATACAAAAAAGACAAAATATTAAAGCTATACTTGCACGTGTGCCTGGAATGCAAAACAGCACCAGGCCCATAAAAAAATGTTACTCGGACAGCAATGAAGTGCAAGTATCCATGCATGCAGATCATGACAAGACGTGGCACTGAACTGTAATACCAGACTGGCTCTACTTGCTAAGGACTAAGAGCTCTGTTGCTCCTCACGCACCTGTATTGCATAAGTTACTCAGGTCTTTGTTGAAGCTCATTTCTGACTGGAGATAGAACATTCTGTGGAATGGATAGTGGCAAGTTGCTCCATTAACAGCTCAGAAAATAAAAAGAATTTGTGCAAATACAATGAGAAATATGCTACATGTTTTTTCATCAAATGATTCTAAGCCATAATGTGCAGTCTATGAAGAGTATAACACCTTCCAACAAGGTAATATTTAGAAATTAGACAGCCATTAATAGGGATTTTTTTTCCAAAGAAAACTAGGCAGCTTGAAAAATTCAACATCACTTTTTCAAAGTAGCAACATCAATAAAATGTCCTTTTTCGGTGGTATCTTTATGAATCACATGACCATGTAAAGCACAGACCCTTGCAGAAAATCTTATAATTCCCTGCACAGTAGATATGGTTTCAAAAATCATAGGGCCTGTAGCACCTAATAAACTAAAAACAGTACTTTTTTCAAATAAAACTGTTTTTTGTCCGACATTAGTGACATGGTTCAGGATGTCTGAGAGCAAGTACTTTAAAAAAATCAGCACTTAGCAATTCAACTTGATGAGTCAAAAAAGCGTGTCTGGTGTGACGTAGCTCCTAGGGTTCATCAGACCGATGATTCTGCTGAAGACAACTTGCTGTGCTGTAAAGCTGTGACAGTGTGCACTACAGAAAAATGGTAATCTGAGACATTTTAGGAATTGTACAAAGTTTACACATTCAGTGGGAATGGTGTATTATAATCTACATGGATAGTATCAAGTCAGTGAGGTGTAAGAATAGTAGTCTGGTGACATGAAACCAAAACACTACACTTAATGACGCATGACTTTACAATTTTGTATATCAGTCACACTCTTGCTGCTAAGAAAATGTTTGAAAAAATATTCCTAATCCTTCACGAAGCTGTTGAAGGAGCAAGCTTCATTAAAGGCCATCCAGTAAATTCTTGACTTTTTGCATTGCATTTCACCAGCAACTTCTCTTCCAAGCTGAAGTGCGGTGGCTCTCATGCAGTTGAGTGACAATTTGACTTTTCAGATTAAGAGCAGAAGTGCAGGCTTCCCTCAGCAATCTTCAGAAATTCATCTTGTGTAGCATGTTAGCCTATTGTGCTGACATCTCAGGGCACTTACGCAAGCTGAAACCTTCTCTGTGGTTGGAATATAACTATACTGCACATTAGGGTGGGAACATTCATCAGAAACTTGGAAATTGGCCTTCCTGGGCACAAAAAAGAAATTTGTAGCTGTTTCCTTGTTTCACTATTCACAAAGGGAAAGGTGCAGCTGTTCAAGAACCATCAGAATTTTAGAGAACTTTGGGAGTGGAGGAGAAGGGAAATAAGTGGATTACTAATTCCTTCATCCAAGGTACAATTGACATGGCAGCACTGACTGTGTCATTGTAAGGCAAAATGAGACACCTTTCCTGTGACAAGATGCTGCAGTGGACTTTCTCTAGGCAGGAACGCAGCAGATTTTGGATATTTCTTTGGAGGTGTAGGACCTAGGTTCAGTGTGGACCCTGAAAGCTCAATTTCCATGCCATTTCCACCCTCCTGCTTTTGCAAGTCAGGTTTCTTTTCAATGGTGCCAATAAAAATGAAATACCATTGCCTCCTGATGACTGACAGTGATTAAAATCAGCGTATTTCCCCAGTTTAACTTTGCACGGAACATCTTCTGAGAGCATCATAGTGTTTTAAAATTTGTGTACTTTCTGCATAATGAAGGTTCACCTTTCACACTCTAAAATTAGTTAATTCTTGGGGTGTGTTAGAGATGCATAGTTTTGCCTACTGATTGTTAGGCTTAAGTTGTCCCAGTGGAGGGAATCACAAAATATTTCTTAGCCTGACAAGAGATCACTACAGTTTGTGAAATCCCATTCAAGGATGCTGTTAGAGTATTCCATGTTTGTTTTGCTCTATTTTTGTGTGTGTTCATTTTATACAAATTATGAGTCATTTCTTGTAGTAAAAATTGACTTTAGAATGCAAATAACCAAATGTTTTTACTTCCTTTTAAACCAGGGTAACCTGGTAGTGAGCAAGTTGTCCTATAATCAAGTTACATATATCGATCCTATTTTGAAAGTATTGTGCTCATATAGAAGAAATCCTTTATCGTTCAAAAACTTCTCCAGGAATAACTAATAATTAGATTAGTTTTGTGCCCTATAATTCTCAGTTACCACTTAAAACAGCACAGTTGCATGGTTTCATAACAAAACTTGAAAATTTCTGAAGTTCACAGAAGTTCAAAGCCTCTCAATGAATCTTGGCCTAGGATCAAAACGCACCTCACTAATAGGCAATAATTAATAGAAAATAATATTAATACGGATTCACAATTTGCACAGTACATTCTTGGGATATTGGATGGTGGGAGGGTATATCTCAAACCTAAAATGAGATAAAGGCCCATCAAAAGTGAGAACAGCAGGCCCAGAGGAACATTTTCTAGTTCTATTGAGAAAGGAATTGGGAGAACTCCTCCTCAAAAGATATTTTTCATATATAAGAGTAGCTGAGGCCTGTTGCTGGGAAAAGGAGAGGACAGAGTTAGGAATCCAGGTGAGTTTTGTTGTGTATTTTTAAAAAAGCCAGATTTACAGGAATGTACAAATCTTTGGTTTGAATTTTCTTTAAAAGTTACTTTCTAGTAAGATTTATTAAACGCCTATGAGCTGATACTAGGGGGATTCTCACTATGAACACTGAAGGAAAAGCACAAGAAAACTGCATCAACTTCATTCTGAAATATCCTGAACTTTATCCTATTCTATCAGGCTCTAGCTATTGTATCATATCAGCAACTTGTAGTCATACCATCAAATTATATTATATTGAACTATATCAGTATGTATTTAAATATCATCCATATTTGATGGTATAAATGTATTTTCTGAATTCACTGGCATTAATTACACCTGTTTGGAGTGCATTGTGAAGTAGGTTAGTAAAAATATACTTCTCATACAATGTATAGATTTTTATTATGTAAGGTTAATTGCTTGAGTGTAAAAGAGATAAAGGTTATTATACAAACCAACAGGCTAACAGTGCAGCCAATCTTTTTACCATCCACTTCTCCTATTTTCATGCAGTCCCTAAAAATAAAATATAACAAAAGTCAGAACATCTACACTGTAGGACAATACAGTTTCCCCCCTCTGAACTAGGAACACATTTCATAAAACAGAATTAAGTAGAAGCAAACTAATTAAAACAATACAGCCTCAGGGCATTCTGCACTGCCAGAAAGCAGATCCAGATGTGTTTGCCCTTATGTCTCCTTTTTCTTGCTTGCACAGGCTGTATATCCCACCTCTAGATCAAAAGTTAAGATAAAACTACTTAGGGCTGCTAATGACAACACATGAAGAAAAACAGTATAAGCATGACAGCCTTGCATTAAAATGATGGACATTACCCCCACACAGTTACTAAGGAAAAATAAAACTGCCAGTGAATGCAGTGCTTTGAAAGGTGCTGGACTGACAATCCAGGAGATTGAAGTTCTATTTATCCACAGAAGAGATGTAGCACTGGCATTTATCTAGAAGTTAAGAGTTCAGTCTCCATGACAACTAAATCCTTCAGCTTTTCTCTTAAACTGTAAATAAGAATGACAACCGTGATAGATTTTGATGGGTGGACCTTTCCCTTAGGGTCTGGAAACACAGTATCAGCCCTGGAGGTTAAGACACTGGACTGGGACTCAAGAGATCTGGGTTCAATTACTGGTTCTGTCACAGACTTCCTGGATGATCTTGGGCAAGTCATCTTTTGTGCCTCTGTTCCCCATCTATAAAAATGAGGGTAATGATACTTCCTTTCTCCCTTCTCTGTCTGTGCTATTTAGATTTATGCTCTTCAGCCAGGAATGGTCTCTTGTTATATGTACCTGTAGTGTCTACCACAATAGGCCTAATTTTGGATGGTACCTACATCCAAATAATAATACTGAAATAATATTAATAACAATTTCACTTAGGCTGTGAAACAGCTGTTAGATGATGACTTTTGGTCACTCCCAACCCAGAGGCATATTTGAACCGGTAACCTAGTGGTGAAAGTCTCCATATTCCAGTTATCAAAACCTGCAGGATAATTTTGTTGTCAGAACTTTGAATACTTCCATATTCTCAATATATATCATGTGACAATTGCTCACCTGTAGTCCAGTAACCTTTCCATTAGTCGAGTTACAGTGGCGATTAATGAAACACCACTTTCTCTCCACGTTTCCCGCTCAATTTTCTTCAGGAGGCTGGAAAGAACAAACCCAAAGCAATTTCAACATTTATTTTTATCTGTCACCATGGCAACCACTTTACTTTCAACAGTATCTAAAATGCCTTGGCAATGTCTGCAATATTCACAGATTTAATTCTGAACTCTTCTCACAAGCAGCACAATTTACTAACAATATCTTACCTAGGATAGGGACCAAAGAGTGGAATTCTAATCCAGGAAGCATTGACAAAGCAAATGGATTTCTAGGTTAGCCATGTCAAAACCAAAACACATACAAATATAATCAGATTTATAAAATGTATAAACATTTTAAAACCTTAATACATTCCCAGATTTATAACATTTTTTTTGGTGTTCTTAGATTTCATTACATGCTAACTGCATGGGTTACATGCTAACACTTCAGAAAATAGAAAGAAACTGAAGACTAGAGGTGAGTGAATAACTGATTTTCCAATTCTGTAGCTAAACCAAAATATATGCAAAATAATTGATTTGTTTCCAATAGAAACTGAAATTTTTTAGGTTTTCTCAATTAAATTAAAAAACAAAAACATTTAGTTCAGGTCCATTCAAAATGACATGTTCTAAATTAAATGTCAATTAGAAATGAAATATTGAAATTGTTTATTTAGAAAATGTCAAAACAAACTTGACTTTTTCCAAATTTTTCCTTTTATTTTTTTATTCAGCCAAAACTATTCACCGAATTCAACCTGAATTCACAGTTTCAGTCTCCCCAAAACTGCATTTTCTGGCAAATGTACTATTTGACTGAAAAATTTTGCTCCATTCTACTGAAGACTATCACCTAGAAAAGAACATCGAGCATTTCAAAATTCCCTTTCAATGGTACATCCAACTTGTTAACACAGATTTTTCCTCACTCACTCTACAATAGTTCTGCACCCACACAGTTTAACTGTAACGTAATTGCTACAGGAAAAGCTTTTTACTGAGAGGTGGTTTTTAAAAAAATTCTCCTTTAACTTAACATTTGCCCACTCAGTACATGCCATTTATACACTGATAGTTTCATTCCTTTAAATATTAAATAACCAAAGGATTTTGAGTGGTAAATGTACTGTGCCTAATTCTCCTCTCCCTTATACTAGGGTAAATTAGGATTACACACTGAAGTGAACAGATTTCCTGGGGTAAAAGTAATATTGTATGGGAACTGACAGTGACACTTATAATGAACAGGAGTACTTTTGGCATCTTAGAGACTAACAAATTTATTAGAGCATAAGCTTTCGTGGGCTACAGCCCACTTCTTCGGATGCATATAGAATGGAACATATATTGAGGAGATATATATATACACACACATACAGAGAGCATGAACAGGTAGGAGTTGTCTTACCAACTCTGAGAGGCCAATTAAGTAAGTGAAAAAAAACTTTTGAAGTGATTGTACTGCGCTATCTTGATTATCACTTCAAAAGTTTTTTTTCA